AGAAAATATACTTTTGGTAGATTTAACACATACAATAATAGGTTTAGATACTATGGACTGTTCACATTGATTATTGGTTTTAAGCTAGTAATTTGTAAGTAAATATTTTTGAGGGTTTTAATCATTTAAGAATATTATTTTAGTTTTGAACAGTCGGTTTAAAAGGAATTTTGGTTTTTTGTGGGATGATATTTTTATATATGATGCATTTTTTTTTATTAATCAACTGCTTAAAGCAATTATTTGGTATTTTGAATGTGGTAAATTTCTTTTATAAATAAACTTTTTAAAGTATTTTATGTTTAAATAACATCTACATTTAATAAATGTCACTTATTTTATGGTATGATTTGACTTTTCTATAAAACTATACTGAAAACTAAATTTTTCCGGGATTTAAATCATATACTAAATTTATTGTAATAAATTGTACTGCTTATAGTGGTATTTTTGGTTTATTAAAAGTAGTAAATTGCTTGAATTAATAAACTACTTAAGGTAAAGTATTTTATGTTGGTCACTTGGGTGGATGAGTAATTTTTTCAAGTTCTTAAATTTATAGTGGATACATTTTTAAGATTTACAGGGTATGTTTTCCGTGAAACGCCCAATACCATTGGCCGAAGTCCTGCTGTCAGTTTACGCTCCTTCCGGTCCATCGTCTTGGCTGCCTAGACCAGGACACCAGTGGTCAGGACTACTACTACCCAACCCCCATCTCCCGCCCCCTTTGAGCCCTCTGCCGATCCCAGCACACTTGTGTGTAATATTGCCACAATTTGCTGGCCAGTTCCAGGGCCCCAGGCAATAAGCCAAAAACCAGCGGCCATCATAACCCGTGTGGATATGACTCCTCGTCCTGCCGCAAACATTACGCGCCCACCTCGCCGCTGTAATCAAACACAAGGACACAAGGATGCGAGGGTGGATGGAAAAGAACAAAATGTTTATGAGGGAATACCGCGAGCAATAAAATTTAATATGAGCAAATGATACGGGAATCGGGAGTCGGGAAGGGTGGCACTAAAAGGGCGGACTGTGTAATAACCACAAATAAAAGCGGCTGGCTGAGGCAATGACAATAAAGAATGAAGAGGAAAATCAAAGTTATGCAATGGCCCCCCGCAGGATGTCGGCAAATGTGTGTGTATGTATGTGTGCTCCTTTGTGAGCTATAAAATTAACAATTCAATGAAGTGAATTCGAAATGGCAAATCGAAAAGCGTAGATATCGCAAGCTAAAAAGGCAGCTGGCCTTGGACCTAGAAGGGCTCAAAGAAGAAGCCAGCCACCCAACCAAAAAAGTACGAAAATGTATACGAACTCGCATAGTCATAAAAAAAATTGCGTATACGCTTAGGAGTACGCTGCCAGACGCACAATAAAAATTAAAATAAAATAAGAAAATAGGAGCCCACAAAAAGTTGCCCAAGCAGCTGTAACAATTACGATTGTGCGAGTTACTTGGCTGGTTTTAATTTTGATCGCTCCCAGGAAAAGAATAAACTTTTCTCTGTTTTTATGTGCAGGAGACTATTGTTTGGCAGCCCACCTTGCAAACAGAATAATAATTTTGCTGGCTTATTTTTAAAAGCCCTTATATAAAACTTCATCAAAAATAAAGCAAGTCATTAAAAAAAATTCCTTTCTGTACGAAATATTTATGCAGAAATGCATTACATTCCTCTTAAATTCACAAAAATGTATTTGTTTATTATCCGTAAAACCCAGCATGGCATTGCAGGCAACTTTATGAAAAGAACATCAGCATTTTCTGATTGAAAAAAAAGGATGGAAAAAATACCAGGCAACTTTATGAAAAGAACATCGCCAATTTCTGTCAAAACAAAAATGTTGAAAAAAATGCAAACAGAAGCCGAATTTTTTGATTTCAAACTCGGAAAAAACCTGTTAATTAAAACTAAGTGCTCTGTGAATATCTCTATCTGTACATATGTGGAAAAATGAAATAGAAAACAATTTTGTACCCCCCATTTTTTACGTTTTCTAGGAAATTGCTTTCTTCAAAATGGAGTCTAAATTCAACAAAACTCAACAATCAAATAAAACAGAAGTGGAAAAGAGATACATTTATATTCCTACAGTGAGTTTGTAAGATGAAAGTGTGGTTTTCTAAAAGGATGTGAAAGTTACTTGCAAAAGTTGCACATACTAACTAAATTTTTTCTATAAAATGTATGAAAAACGGTATATATTATTATATAAATGATGAGATCGATTTCAGTTTAGACTTTTCTTGAAAACAAAACAAGTATCGCATAAATTACGCGCAAATTGCGCAGTGTTGTGGCTTCGTTTTGAATTAAGAACGGAATGCATTCGAAGTGCCTAAATAATTGTTATGTCATGTGTTGATTTTAGTTGCTGATTTTGCTGCTGATTTTGTTGTTCGTCAGCTGCCTAATGAAATCAATAGAAAGGCAGCGGCGTCTTTTGTTTGCCAGCCGTTCGCTAAAATGTTTGCACTTGGCTTAAACGCAAAATTTGCTGATATTTGGCTAACGGGCGAAAGGATGCCCGAGAATGCTGAGTGCAGCGATGCGTTGTCAATGGCAGCATCTGCGGTTTTCCAGGGGCGGCGGCGGGTTTTCCAAAGGGGGGGAGGGGGTGCATTGTGAATTGTTCATATTTTGATTAATTTCTCTGTGTACTGCGACTCCTTGCGGTGGCTGCTGTTTTGTTGTTGCTGTTTGTCAAGCGGAGTAATTGCAAAATCCAGTGCTTATGTGTGTGCTGCAATTATGCGCACGCACACATTGCCAAGCAGCCGCACACACACACACACACACACACACACACTCGCAAACTTAAGCACACATGCAAACTGCAGTTAAGCAAATAATACGCTAAAAGCATAAACTAAATGAATTAAACGACACAACCGACACGGAAAGGAGCTTACAGGCCCTGCATTATATATGTATAACCATACACAGATCAAAAAAATATTAAGATTAATTGTTTTAATTTTACAGGATTAGTAGATAGATTTAACAGCCATCGTTACACATCGTGATACCTATTAATTAGAAATATTATTTTTAAGTGGTATTTGCCTATAAGCTTCTTTACAGCTGTACCAAAAGGAAATATTTAATGGGTTGAGAGTAAGGCCTTAAAAAGATTATATAAAAATTATCCCCCCCCCCCCAATGTGCATTTATGTAAACAATAAACTAATGTTAAAATGATAGTGAATATTGCAAACATCGTTCTTTCTCTCTCTCTCTTTTTTGGAAATACTCTCAAATCGAAAAAGGGAGAGCAAAATGCAAGATGGCGTCTTAAAAACCTTAAAAAGATTATAAAGAAAATATACATTGTGCAATTATGTTAACAATAAAATAATGTAATAATGTTAAATTGATAGTGAAAATTGGAAATATCGTTCTTTCTCTCTCTCTCTCTTTTTGGAAATACTCTCAAATGGAAAAAAAGAGAGCAAAATGCAAGATGGCGTCTCAATTATTTCCGCGTAAGAGCGAGACAGACATATACAGAGTTTAAAATATCGTTTAAGTATCGATATCAAATGGATACCGACAACTATCTTTCCTTATCACTTATTTTTATCGGTGTACGTATGGACGATAGCCACCCACCCCATTTCGCTGGAACTTTCTATAAAATATGAGATAATAAAAAGTGAATTATGTTCCCGCACAGCCGCTGAAACCAGCGGAAACGGAAGAAAGGGGGGGGGGGGGGGGAGGTGGAACATGAATCTCACAGATGAGGGACAACAAATAAATGGGAGCACAAACATAAAGCAATAACAGCATCAACAGGAGCCCAGCAGCAGAGGCGGCAGCAACAAGAGTTAATTGCAATTGTTTGTTCGCCAGTTAGTTTTTTATTTGCACTTTAATTATGAGAAATAGTAGTAGACCATAGCGTAGAGCACAGCAGCAGAAACTAATTTTCATAAGTACACAACTTTGTGCAAAACGGGGGCCAAAGTGAGGAGGAGCAGACACATGACTTATGACAAAACACAAAACTTGATGGCCAAGACTACCAAGACTACGCCACTACCAAGAACCAAGAACCAAGAACCAAGAACCACTGGCCACTCCGGAGACACAATGGAGCCCACAGGAAACAAAATGAAATGGATGCAATAAAACGGAGCACTCCCGACCAGCGCAAATAAGCAAACAAATAAAATTATAAATAATAATACCAGAAAATTATGATGGAAGCTGGACGCCCAAGTGAAAAGCCCCGCAACTATGGCAGCCCCCTGGAAATCTTACATAATTTTTCAAAACAAATTCTCATTCTTAGTCACAGCAAGTGCAGTGGGGACTTGACACGAATAAATAAAGGCCATTACAAAGAAACCGGATGTTATTGTGTTATTTATTCATTGACTCGAAATGACAATGAATTTCGTTGTTTTATATTAATACACTTTACACTTTTTAAATTTACAGAAAAACTAAAGTTAAATAAAACAAAAAATATTATAATATAATTAGTGTAGGGTGAATAACAGATATAATATATTTAATACATTTATATATGTTCGTTTTATATATTTGTTAAAGTGTCTCCAGGAAATACAAATATATTAATTATTGTGGACTTAAAAATAAATGTAGAAATTAAAATAAATAAAATCCTTAAATATTACAAATGAATACTCCCCAATAAATCCACCATTATATATTCATCCAATAATTTTTTAAAAAATATTTAATAAAAGATGTGTTTATATTGTTATCTGAAGGCTTATACTTATAAAAGTATAAATTACAAAGTCATAAAATAACCATTTACTTATAAAATGATAATGCAACTTAACAAAATAATTCAAATTTGCAACGAAACTATCCTTTAAATTCAATATCGTATACAAAACTACTATAAATTTTTCCAATAAAATGTAGGCTAATCCATTTTTAGTCGTCAAAGCAATCCTGGACAATAGCTTCACAGGTTGGCATCGCTTGTCACTCAGTTCACTCCGAGTCTCGTTCGCCTGGAGAGCTCCAACTTGTATACCTTTTTATCATATTTGTATCGAAAATGACTTCGTTCTACGGCTATCGTTGCCCCTACGAGGATGGGATGGATCTATCGTGCGTGAGTTTGAACTATGGTCGCAGGATCGTAAGGATGGACAGACACGCCCTCCTGATGAATGCCCTCAAGAAGATGCCGCCAAAGCCGCAGAAAACGGCTCGTTTGTTTCAGCCCAAGCTGGAGAAGGACAAGGACAATGAGACTATTTTTATATTTGCAGCCCAAAAGGATAGGGTAAAGGATATCCGGGTGGCAGCTACGTTGGTCAAAGGACCGGAATCTGGACACGGACGCAATCATCGTGGTGCTCGGATTTTTGATCGCCATTCCGGTTCAAATCGCACTGGTGTCAAGGCGGTGGACAAACGCAATGGGGCCGGGGCCCACAACTGGGGATCGCCGGAGCAGGAGATCCAGATGTACCAGAAGGACGATTCTCGCAGGAACAAGCAATCACAGGATGTGCCCATCCAATCGAAGGCGACTCTAGAATATTGTTCGTCGAAGGATTCGCCGGTGCAATTCACACTGGACGAGTGGCGTGCCATGCAGGCCCTAAAGAAGAAATTACTTCAGAAGAATCAGGAGAAGGCTTCCAAGGATGATGAAGCTGGGTCGGGAGAATCAGGAGGTTCAGGAAGCTCTGGAGGATCCGGAGATGAAGCCGCAGGACGCTGCTCTGGTCGCCAATCGCGTCTAGTCGACATCAAGTTCTATTTCACTACCAAACCAGGACCCATTTTGAGGATCAGCGACTACCCAAAGTCCTGCCCAAAGGTCGACGATAAGGGGCAGTTCCCAAAACTTTCCTAAGTTGTTCAAGTTGACCTTTTCTACTGCCATTCAAGTAAATTTTGGTATTTCGCTTTATATTCATGTTACATCTATGTGATTCGGTATTATGTTAAAAAAGCGAGGGATTTGAGGCAAAAAGAAAACCTTCTTGGATCTTCAAAATTTTAATAAAATTGCCATGGATCAAAGCCAATAAAAATGTTTTTTGGAACTTTAAGGGATAGTATTTAATAAATTCTATTAAATAACTTACCACAGGAAGAGCCTGTGATATAATATATTATATATATCAAAAATCGTGTTTTTTCAATATTAGCTAACCTACTATTTTGCTTGTATAATACATAATAATACAAGTGGAAAATAAAAGAACTTGTAAAATTACAAAAACTATCTATCTTTAAGTAGTCCTTTGAAGGTTCTTTTATAGGTTATCCCAGGCATGATATATGATTTAAATTGAGTAGGTCTTTGCCATTGGAATTGCCTTTTATTTTTATTTTTGTAGCTTCGAAACTCTGGGGAAAACCTTAAATTCGCTTTAAGGTTGTCCGCACTGCTTCGAATGGAATTTTCCGACGTCACCGCAAAGTTTTCAGTTTTCCATGTTGTGTTTCCGCTTGTTTCCCTCCTAGTTTCAGCTTTTTGCGTTTTCTCCACCATGTTACATTAAATTGAACAAATTCTAGCGAAACAAAAACAAAAGCTCCAACTGAGGACTATAAGAAACTGTAGAGCTCGAGTGCAAAAAAAGAAAGGAGAAACAAAAAAAAAAAGTCTGCAAACTTTTTGCGCGGCCTATTCTCTGTCCCCCTTCCTCCTACTCTAGCCCTCCCACTCGCACTAATTACAGCACACGTTAGTTGTCAAGCGCGAGAAAGGGACAACGATAGTGGGCAATAAGAAGAGAGGGACGAACTCTCTGCGGAACTGCAAATTAAATGAAATTCTAGAAAGTTTTTTAGTTACCAACCATTTTTTCACGCCGCTGATATTAATGAAAATCAGTGCTGGTACCCTTTTTTTTTTTTTTGATTTTCCCAGCGTGGGTAGGACTGGAATTGAACTTGATTTGCCCACACAACCTACGTTTCCATAACTGGCAACCAATTAGGAAGATGCCTAGTCGAAGTAAGCCAAGCAGATGTGAAGTTTTTGTTAACATGATGAATACATTTCGGCCTCGACGACTGGAACTGGATGCTTGTTAAAATTGATTGCCGGCAAAAACAAGGCAAAAGCAACAACTGCTTAGGGCAGTTACCTTTTTGCCGGCTTTTCGATCCCGGGCCCGAGGAACATTGATTTATATTTGTATTGACACTTCGACCCCCTTCCGGCAAAAACCCCGTGCCAACACTGCCTGCGATGCTGTTTGCCCATCGCACGAATTTGTCCTTGTCATTGTTTTACAAGCCGCCCGCATCACCGCCCACTTTTCCGCCCGAAAAATCGGAGACAAAAGCGGAGGAAAATCGGACAAAAGCAGGAGGAAAATCGATTAAACAGCAAGAAGTTGAGTTTGGGGTAGGCTCTACAAGTACCGTTGAATATTCAGATAGTAATGGGTTTTTTAAAGTAAATATGTTTTATAATAATAGATTAGAAATTCAACTCAGAAACACTATATCTTTACTTGGTACATATAAAAAATATTTTTATTTGCTGAATTACGTCCACAATGACATAATGATATATTATTTTTAATAAAGGGGTATATAGGAATTAAAAAAAATCTATAAGTATTACAATATCAATGAACTACCGATTACTAACTACTAAGAGTTTTGAAAACCACTGTATTTATATGAAACTCTTATTTTTCTGCAAAGGTCGAATAAACATTTAGAGTTAGTCACTTTGACTTTTTATCTTGATGTAATATGCTTCAATAATATTAATTTAGTAAACTATTTTTTCTTTCATTGTGTGGTAAAAACACTTTCAAAAAGTTTATTAAGTCGTGTTAGCAAAATAAAAAGAATTTATGATGATATTGCGTAAAATATGTGCAATCTTGAACCACAAACTATTCAGCAGAGTCGAAACCTCTGATTAAAGTTCAATAGGAAAAACGAACACAATAGCCTGCATATACATACTCGTAGAACGAAATGATAATGATTGCATAATTTTTGTGGGCACTGGGTCACACTTGAATAGTCTCGTTTCCGTCATCTGAAATTATTTCAAAGCTGACACGAGAAATTACCATTGATAAATGCCGGAAATGTGCTTCCCCTCTCCCACTGGCCCACTTTTGACCCACTTTCGACCCACTTTCGACCCATTTTCGACCCACTCCTGTTCAGTTGCGGTGTGGTCGGAGGGCATGGCCGGCGATTCCGGGGATTCCGGAGGATCCTCCGCCATCGAGCCAGCTCACAATGGCCATGCAAATTGGACACGGCTGCAGTAGACCCCACTCCCACTGCCACCCCCAATCTGGATCCCATGCCCAATCCCTGTCCGAATCCCATTCCGATTGCCGGACCCGGGTCATGTTTGTGTGGCGTGTGTTTGTTTAACTTGGTCATCAAGTCAAAACAAGAGGCGGAAAAGAATGGGCTATGGGGCGGGGGTAAAGTGTGGTGGAGTGGTTATGGTGGCAAAAAGAGGACAACTTGTGCTGTTGAATGCAACATGATTGGAGGTTTCTTTAAAGGGCCAAAGCTGCACAGGGGTTGGCAGGGGGTGGCACTAATTCACCGACGACTTCCTGCAATTAATGTCGATGTCAGCATCGATTGACAAGTTGATTTGGTCTCGAATAGCCAACAGCACAATAGGTATCGTTCGGCGTTGAAAAATGCATGAATTGGTTCAAGCTTTTCAAATTGAAATTAGAGCTAGTGAATATTTAAATTCACTTGTATTTCAGGGGGTTTGTTTAAGGGTAATGACATAAGCCCTGAAAAGTACTTGTTTTTGGCGGTTTTTCAACCGTAGTTTCGCCAAAACAAGGCGTACAGCTAAAAGACCGACTGTTTTGAGTAGCTTGCTTCCTAAACTAACAAACCCAACCACTTTAAGGAAAATTTATTTTTTGGCCAATTTTCGCATTTTTTATGGTGTTGGCATTATGTTTTTTTGTAAGAAATGTGAAAAATTAAAAATTTCTAGTTTTGAACGCCAATAGATTGGAAATTAAACAACGAGCTCAACGAGGTATGACATTCCTTGATGTGACGTTTATTTACTTCATAGCAGCCAAAAAACTGATTTTTAATGGCGAAAAAATTGGATTCACATTTTGTCAAAAATACGAGATTCAGATTTTAGTAAAAAATACCATTTTTCTTTGCCTTTTTCCGAATGTAGTTTGGCCAAATCAAGGAGTACAGCTAAAAGACCGACTGTTTTGAGTAGCTTGCTTCCTAAACTAACAAACCCAATCAGTTTAAGGAAAATTTATTTTTTGACCAATTTTCGCATTTTTTATGATGTTGGCATCATGTTTTTTTGTGAAAAATGTGAAAAATTATACATTTCTAGTTTTGAACGCCAATAGATTGGAAATTAAACAACGAGCTCAACGAGGTATGACAGTCTTTGATCTGACGTTTATTTACTTCATAGTAGCCAAAAAACTGATTTTTAATGGCGAAAAAATGGGATTTAGATTTTGTCAAAAAATACGAGATTCAGATTTTAGTAAAAAATACCATTTTTTTTTGCCGTTTTCCGAATGTAGTTTGGCCAAATCAAGGCGTACAGCTAAAAGACCGACTGTTTCGAGTAGCTTGCTTCCTAAACTAACGAACCCAATCAGCTTAAGGAAAATTTATTTTTTGACCAATTTTCGCATTTTTTATAGGGTTGGCATTATTTTTTTTTGTGAAAAATGTGAAAAATTATACATTTCTAGTTTTGAACGCCAATAGATTGGAAATTAAACAACGAGCTCAACGAGGTATGACAGTCTTTGATCTGACGTTTATTTACTTCATAGTAGCCAAAAAACTGATTTTTAATGGCGAAAAAATGGGATTTAGATTTTGTCAAAAAATACGAGATTCAGATTTTAGTAAAAAATACCATTTTTTTTGCCGTTTTCCGAATGTAGTTTGGCCAAATCAAGGCGTACAGCTAAAAGACCGACTGTTTCGAGTAGCTTGCTTCCTAAACTAACGAACCCAATCAGCTTAAGGAAAATTTATTTTTTGACCAATTTTCGCATTTTTTATAGGGTTGGCATTATTTTTTTTTGTGAAAAATGTGAAAAATTAAAAATTTCTAGGTTTGAACGCCAATGGATTGGAAATTAAACAACGAGCTCAACGAGGTATGAAATTCCTTGATCTGACGTTTATTTACTTTACAGCCGCCAAAAAACTGATTTTTAATGTCGACAAAATGGGATTCACATTTTGTCAAAAATACGAGATTCAGATTTTAGTCAAAAATACCATTTTTCTTTGCCGTTTTCCGAATGTAGTTTGGCCAAATCAAGGCGTACAGCTAAAAGACCGACTGTTTTGAGTAGCTTGCTTCCTAAACTAACGAACCCAATCAGTTTAAAGAAAATTTATTTTTTTACCAATTTTCGCATTTTTTTGGGGTTGGCATCATGTTTTTTGTGAAAAATGTGAAAAATTAAACATTTTCAGGTTTGAACGTTATTGAATTGGAAATTAAACAACGAGCTCAACGTGGTATGACGTTCCTACATAGATCTGACGTTTATTTACTTCACAGCAGCCAAAAAACTGATTTTTAATGGCGAAAAAATGGGATTCAGATTTTGTCACAAATACGAGATTCAGATTTTGGTCAAAAATACCATTTTTCCTTGCCGTTTTTCGATCGTAGTTTCGCCAAATCAAGCTTGCTACCTAAGCTAACGAACCCAATCAGTTTGAAGAAAATTTATTTTTTGACCAATTTTCGCATTTTTATAGGGTTGGCATCATGATTTTTTGTAAAAACTGTGAAAAATTAAACATTTCTATGTTTGAACGCCAATGGATTGGAAATTAAACAACGAGCTCAACGAGGTATGACATTCCTCATTGTGACCCTTTTTTGCAATATGCCAGCCAAAACGCTATTTTTTTTTGCCTAAAATCAGGATTTCAGCTGTTTCACTATTGAATCGGGCGCTCTACCACGATCCTTGAAAGCATGTTTGACATTTGTTTAATTAAGTTCAAAATTTTATGAATACAACATA